CGAGCTGTGCTCGAATGTAACACCTGCAAATTGAGATGAAATAAATAAATTAAATATTCAAACACAAAGTAATGTGACTATCCCTTATTTCTAAATAGGAAACGTTACACTTCACACACAAATAAAGTAATTTATTTAATAGATATAAAACAATTTGTGTATGTTATAATAAAAAAAGAAGAATTCATATTTTTTACCTTTTATAATATAGATTGCATCATTTGATAATGGATTTAAATTGGAATCGCCTTTCTACGACTTGGATAAATATAAAGGAATAAAAAAAATCTAAGATGGCGTCTTACTTAAACTTTAGTAATTCGCCTTCTTCATTCGATAGTGTTGATTACAAATATCCTTCGATTACAGATAGAGTACTTAACAATTCAAAACCCAACAACAGAGGTGAGATATTTGAGAAAATTCATATTAACTATCTCTTCAAAATTATTAGGGGCAATATGTGTAGTCTTGATATATATATTTTTTATTTTATAATCATACAATTTAATTTTGTATTTACATTTCAATGAAAAATTCGTTATTTGAGGTTTTACGTAGAACCCAATATAATGCTGAAATATAAGCTTTGCATATTATAAAATAAATGAAGCTTCCAGTGCTAAGTTTCTTGTGCAACTTTTTATTTTCAAGCTTTCGGACTTGTCAGTCCTTCAACAGAATTATCACGTTAACAACTTAATATTAAATACAATTTTTATATACACATTATTATATACATATTTTAAATACTTATTATATATTGATAAAATAATATATTACATTATTTCTGTTTTTGAAAAACAAAATTTTGAAAATATACGTAATATAAAAATCATTTTTTGCATGGCGTCTCTAAATACTGGAATATATTTTGGAACTTGGATTTTATCTCAAATTGTATAAAAAACTGGAGAGTTTAGAATTCGTTTTTATTTTTTATTTTTACGCGCGTCGTGTATTGGATTGTCTATTTATCAACAGAGCTATCTGGTCACACTGGGCTATCGATCTGTTTGTTTACATCTCCATTCACAGATCGTCTGGTGCCAACACAGCAGCAGATCAACTTGCTACACGGCAGCTAAATCTGGCGTAATGCCATTCTAACGGTTTTTTTTATCCTCATAAACAAACAATAAAAATCACCATTTTTAACATACATGTAAAACAAAAAAGAAAGATATAGAATACACAATTATCTATATATATATAAATATAATATATAAATATATAATATAAATAAAAATCTATGAATATAAAGCGATACAATTAGAAGAAGTTGAAAAAAAAAACGAATTTGACGTGTAATGGATTGTTAAATTTCGTTTACATTCCTTCAATGTTTAATTATTTTTATTTTTTAATTATTTAATTTATTTACTCTAGCCTGTTCTTTCACACCAAGTTTAATGATCGTCACCAGGGTGTGTATTACTTTCATTTCAGCTATGTCTGTAAGAGAATAAAAAGAAATTACAGAACAATATTTTGACTAAAAAATAAACTCTTCGAGATAAAATAGCAAAATAAAACGGAGATTGAAGAGGAGTGTCTTGTGCGAATTTTATTAGCAAGCTTTCGGACGTCCTTCTACAGGCTTTACAATGACTAAACAGAAAACGCGATGAGAGCTTAGCGAGACGTAAAGCTTGCTAATAAAATTCGCACAAGACATTCCTCTTCTATCTCCGTTTTATTTTGCTAAAACACTATTTTCTTACAAAATATAATTATAGCGCGCTCAATCGATGAAATAAGTGCACACACATTCAATATTTTCTACATTATCACACACACACAAACCTTTATTAAGACACACTGGTCTTATTTTCTACATTATCAATTTAACACAGTATCGATTTTATTTATGAAAATATTTATTTTGTGGAAACTATATTCAAATTTATTTTGGAAATTACACATTAATAGAAATTTTCTTATATTTTAAAATATAGAAAATTTTTATTTTTTACGTAGAAAACGACATTACAATGAAAGTAAAGTACATTATCAATAGAACAGAATCCATATTTACATAAGATGTATTAGCGCGCCATCTGTTAAAGGTAAATTGAACTATTAATGACACGTACCATTCGTTTAAATATAAAACTCTTCTACACACCAAAATTAAATTTATAATTATTTATATTTATAACTTTCCTCAAAACTTATGTCTTCATAGTTGTTTAAAATATCCTTTCCAAGAGTTGATTTTCAGTATCAGTATAAAATCAAATCAGCAAAATACATTAATAGAGCGGTATGGTAGATTAAACTGTAGACATCGCTGGGAAGGTTTACCGTTGATGAACCAAGCCCTTCCATTATTTTTATCATTGCAGTAATGGAAGTAGAAAATATTGTTTCATTTAAAAGTCATACGCATCATAAATAGTTCAAATATTCCAGAATCCATAGAATATCTATCTATAGAATAATAGAAAATCTATCTAATTTCAAGAGAACTCCAAAATTGTCATATATGAATTATATATATATATTTATTCTAATCCATCAGTTGATTGATTAAACCAACAGACCTCCTAGTATATTGATGACTTGCTGTTGTAGATATCTTGTTGTTTAGGTCACAGCACTGCTCCGGGGATGTCTAAATATAAATTAATTATAGGTATTGTACCCCATGATATATTTTAAGGAAAGAAACAGGAAGAACATCTCTCGCAGTGATAGCAAAAAATTATTGTTAAAATTCTGGCTAAGAATGCTAAAAATGGACACTACGAGATTACCTTCAATCTGTTTGCCTCACTTGTGGGATGTTTATACCTCTACAAGACAAAATATTGGATTTACAAAGAGTTTAACAAATACATTGAATAACACCGGTTTCTCATGGCTTATTGGATGCTCGGATCACAATTTAGTGCAAAGTTATATTCCTTTGATTATTAGGACAATGTCAGATCAATCGATACAAGAAGACCAATCAAGAATAAGAAATTCAAAACTTTATCCACATTATAAAAATTTCAATACGTCAATAGAAACAGAATGCTACCTAATCGATGATTTTCCTTTACCAGTCAAACGATGCAGAGCTCAATCGAGAATACTATTTACAGTAAAAAAAAAAAAAATCACGTTCTGACGTTTGAGGCCAAAAACCTAATATGTACACTGAGTGACAAGGAAATTACTGAAGAACTCCCCCATTACCTGCTTAATTGTACAGCCCTTGATGAAGAAAGGAAGGCCCTATATCAACAAATTAAATGTACCAACATTTCACCCTACGTATTGCTTTCAAAAATAACAGAAAACAAATCTAAGGCAATAGCTTACTATAAATTTTTTAGATCATCATTATGTAAGGACCAGTCAACAATTGAATGACTTTGAGACGAAGAGTAAAGCCAGTTCAATTTCCATCTTACTACCTATGTAAATAACACAAGATGATTTTTACCTTACCCAATTGGGAGAATCTGTATGGGGCATGTCCCTAATAAAGGCTTTGTGTGTATGTGTGTGTGTGTGTAATTATAGGTATTGTAGAACAAAATAATGGGATTCTACTGCATTTCGTATTAGAGTAGAACCTCCCTTTAGCGGACACCTCTCTACAAAGAACAGTGCTCATTTAAAAAATTATCATTTTTACTATTTAGCAACTCTCCGCTAAGAGGACACCTCTCCCTAAAGGACACTTTGGCTCTGCAATAAAATGTCATTTACAGGGAGGTTCTACTGTATATAAATTTTGCTAGCATTATGAGAAATTGAATCCTAGGATTAAGGGAATTACCATGATCCACAAGTACATCACGTCATCAATCCTGCCTCTCACTTGTGACAAAAGTTCTGAAATACTTCTCAATGTTAGAAAGCTGGGATCCCGAAATTCCCAGAATCTTATCCTACTAAAGGTGAAATTATGTTATTTTAAAATATTTTTAATTAGACGAATTTCAACTCTTACTGAGAATGGAAGAAAGAGTTAATAAGGCTTGTTCGGCTCATCGCGGGGCTTTACAATGTAAAATTTACTATAAAACCGCTTAAAATGTGAATTAACCAAATCTATATGAATGAAATGTTTGTGACTTTTCGGTAACAGAGTTGTTATGATCATCAGACAAAAGTACTTAAAACATTTTAATAATTCGGATTTGGTTTGGTCATACTTTATGTTTATAATCGATAATCCAAATTGTACTTTATCATAAACCGAAACAAACATTGTTTTGTTCATTCTCTCTGTTTATCTAGTCTATATTTGGAGGTTTATATATCCTTGTGGTGGTTTTTAATTAAACTATGGAGATATATGTAATTTTTTCAGACACAATTAATGAAATTCCTCATAGATATTTTGTCAATAACTTCATCTAATCAAATTAAATTCGTCATATGTCCACCTATATTATATCGAAGGGAAATGCTTGATGTACGTTTACCCATATTCTCTACCAAATCTAGTGAACCAATCATCAAGAAATTCCACATGTAGATAACAGAAGATATTGTTTAACATATAAACCTCCCAGTCTATGCAAATTAGACCAATAACGAACTAATTAGAATATTTTGGATGAATTCCAAACACTATTATACTACTGCTAATAAAGGTAATAATCCTATAATCATAATAAAAATAACAATATTTGTTTAAAACAACTAGATATTTATCCCGTTCAACGAATAGGTCTAAAACGACAGTTAGTTCTATGAACTAAACGCTGATTGGTTGACTGACGTGACAATAAAAAGCCAATCAGAGCCAATTACTGCCTCGTGGCCTTAATAAACCAATCATTAAGGCATATATTATAGTTGATATTAGATAAATAAACATTTACTCGGGCAGAGCCATTCAACTAGTGATTTTTAAAAAGCCCAAAAATGTTTACCTCATTAGCCTACACATTCCGCTATACGTGCTGTATTACCCCGGTATGTAACAAACATGCACATACTGGATATATAACTTCATTGTAAATAAACCCAAATTTCAACATGATTACATATACGGCGATATAAGCTCAACTGCTAAAGCTTCAGACTGAAGATCTAAATGTCCTTGGTGTTCAAACCCGCATTTCACCAAGATGACAGTCGAAGAGAGAGAAGTACGACCTATATTGTGTCTCCCACAACAGTGGCTTCTTCCTGACCTGAAATGTTATCATGCTGATACATGCTAACTATGCTCGGCTGTTTGCTCAGTGAGGAAATCTACACTATATTGTTTTTTTCTCAATTATTTATTTAACTGAAGATGAAAAAGATTCGGGAAAACTTGGCTTATCAGTTTTAAACCTTGCCATAGATTTCGCCAATTCAATCTACCAGATCACTACAGCTATGGTATAGTCCTTCTATTTATATAACCTGAAATTCAGATGAATAACCTTAACCAAATAAAAAACATATCTTAAGTAAAAAATAATATGCAAAAACATCCTAATGTATATACACTTCGTTCTCTTTTTATGCGGTTTTTTTTTATGCGGTTTTGGAGTTATGCGGTGCAAGAAAAAAAAATTTATTCGAATATCGAATTCGAAAATATCGAAAATATCGAATACTACCTGTAACGGCAGCTGGCATGCCTATATAGTAAATTATCAGTGAACACATATTTATCACTGATGATACTCTGTGCAGTTGCCTTTTGACTGTTTGTAATATCTACCACATGTAAACATATGTCTTATAATTAATATGCTATATCTGATGTTGGCCTAAAAGAAATAAAGTATTTCTTTTTAAACTTCCAAGTACTTCTTGCTTATTAACGTCAACAAATACAAGGACGTTACACTACCGAAAACCGGAAGATAAATTTACTCAAGTGAATTGTAAGTTTTTTTGAATAATTTTAGTGCGTAATTGTACATTAAGTTTTTTCTATAATTTTTAGTCCTCTTAAAGAAAATGTGTGACAATAATAAAAAACAAAAAAGAAGTGCAATTTCGCTAGAAACCAAAATTATAATTCTCGATTGCTTGGCGAAAGGAGAAAGATCAACAGCAATAGGTAAACGTTATAATTTAGGCGAATCTACTATAAGAGCAATAAAAAAAAATGAAGCGGCAATAAGAAGATCAGTCAGATCTGGTACAAATTTGAGTTCTAAAATTTCATCATATTCAAGAGGCATTTTAATAGAAAAAACAGAAAAGGCTCTCGTAATTTGGATTGAAGATTTAACTCAAAAAAGAATTCCGTTAGATGGACATTTAATCAAGATGAAAGCCCTTAAATTTTACAAGGAGTTAAAAGAATCAGAGCCATCTACATCTTCACGTGAAAGTAATCCACAATTCTCTGCCAGCACAGGGTGGTTAACTGGTTTTATAAAAAGACATTCTTTTCATAATCTAAAAATAAAAGGTGAGGTGGCTTCTGCAGATGAAGAAGCTGCTAGAAAATATCCTGAAAAGTTGGCTAAAATTATTAAAGATGGAGGATATTGTGCCCATCAAATCTTCAATGCTGATGAAACAGGATTGTTTTGGGAAAAAATGCCAACCCGTACTTACATTGCAAAGTCCGAAAAAAATGCCAGTGGTTTTAAAGCTGCTAAAGATCGAGTTACTTTATTGCTGTGCAGCAATGCATCTGGCGATCGAATGTTAAAACCGCTGCTTGTAAATCGATCTTTAAAACCACGTGCATTAAAAGGAAAAGACTTAAATACACTGCCCGTACATTGGATGGCAAACAAGAAGGCCTGGGTAACAACGGCTATTTTCACTGAATGGTTCAATAAATGCTTCATACCCGAAGTAGAAAATTATATGAAAGAGATGGGTCTCGAATTTAAGATCTTATTAATTCTTGACAATGCACCAGGTCATCCAAACTTAGAACATCCAAATATAAAGGTAGTTTTTTTCCCTCCAAACACAACGAGCCTAATTCAACCATTAGATCAGGGAATTATTTCAACATTTAAAAAATATTATGTAAAATTCACTTTCCAATTCATTTTCGATAAACTGGAATCCGATACAATAACAGTTACTGAAGTTTGGAAACAATTTAATATCTTGAACTGTGTAGATCATGTTGCGTTAGCAATTGCCGAGATAAAATCACAAACTTTAAATGCATGTTGGAAAGCTGCTTGGCCTGAATGCGTATCAAAGAAAAATGAATCAAATAGAACAACAATAGTACCATCAGATATTATTTCAATTGCTAAGGAAATAGGTGGGGAAGGTTTTGATGATTTTGGCGAGCATGATATAGAAGAATTGCTTGTGGACGAAGCCCTAAATGATGATGATATTTTGGAAAGTATGGTAGATACTACTAAAGATTTCGAAACAGTAGATAGCGAACTGGAAGATGTTACTCCACTGGACGAAAAATTACTTCGGGAAGGCCTTCAACTTTCCGGTAAATTGGAAAATTTTTTTATTCAAAATGATAATGATGTAGAACGCGCCTTAAAATTCCAACGTGATCTGAAATTTTGTATGTCTGGCTACAGAGAACTCTACAAAGAACTAGTCAAGCCATCACAGCGTTTGATTACTGACTACCTTGTCAAAGAAAAAAAAATCACTGAAGTTCCTAAAGAAGCATTACCATGTAGATCTGATGACGTAATTTTATCTTCAAGTGATGAAAGTGATCTTGCACCAATCCTCAAACGGGTTCGCACATTATCAGACAGCGAATAATGATGAAAACATTCTTAATATGATTTTAAATAAAGTTTTGTTTATGTTTTTTTTTTTTACATATTAAGTTTTGTTTTTATTAACACACATATGTGCCATTTATTAAAATATGATGAGAAAAAAATTAAATCTTATTATTTATACATCTTTTTTTATGCGATTTCTAGTGCATTTTAAAACATTATTTAGGTTTTATGCGATTTTTTTTAATAAATGGAACGTATCCATCATTTTACATATAAATGTATGTCTTTTTTTGTGCGATTTTTTTTTATGCGGATTCCCCTGGAACGCATCTACCGCATAAAAAAAGAACCAAGTGTATATATATATGTACATAGAATCATAATAGTTTTAGCATCAGGCGGCGTTATATTTTCTCGATATATTGTATATGTTTCTCCTGTAGAAGGGCGGACAAGCCCGAAAGCTTGAGAAGACCGGAATAAAAGATACTCATCTCCATAAACGTTTTACTTTGATATCGGATAACCTGAAATTGATGAAAGTTCACCACTGATAAGTCAAGCGTCTTTTAAAATCTTTTTACCATTAGTTAAATAATTGTGAACATTTTTCTTATAGGATTTTTTTTTTGAGATTTCAAATAGCGTTTACTGATTCCATCATAATTATTCAGATGGCTCTATGTGTTCTGTTTAGTAGCTTCTATCCCCTATTGTAGAAGTATAATTATACGTCACATATATACGTCATATATTTAAAAACTCAAAAAATAAATCCTATAGGGAAAATGTTCACAATTATTCAACTAACGGTAAAAGATTTGAAAAGGCTTAGGTTATTTCAGTGGTGAACCTTCACATCGATTTCATCAAGTGCATATTATATAATTGGAATGACAATACAATAGCTGTAGCAATCTGATGGATTAAATTGAAGAAATCTATGGCAAGGTTCACAACTGATGAGCCAAGTTTTTTCCGAATACTTTTCATCTTCGGTTGAAAAAATAATTGAAGAAAATTGTACAATAGGCTTGAAAGAAATATAATGAAAGAAACTATTTCTATTCCCTCTGTCGCTGGGATTGTCCGCATTGCGACATGTCTGGAGAGATTGGGTCAAGAGGAAGATGATAAATGTAGACAACCCTGAGATAAATAACTGGACGAAAATTTTCAGCTATTTATATGATGCATTAGCAGCGCGTCATCTGTTTTAAGATATTGAAACTATTTTGAGGCATATGTTTAAAATAAAACAATTTTCTACTGACCTTACTCTAAGGATAAGCCTGGCCCTCCTATCTTTTTTTTTAATATTGTAATAAGGACAGTAGAAAATTGTTTTATTTAAAAAGAATCCCCTATGCGTCAAAAATAGTTTCAATTTCTTATTTATTTTAAATTAGAAGATCAATAAATACAAACATAAAAAGAAATGTATACGAGGTGTGTTCAAAAAGTATCGCGACTTTTGAATTTTCGCGGGTTACGTATATTCGAATTTCGATCTTTTTGTGGCTTTATGTTGGTACTCATGTCTCTCACTTATGCCGACAAGCTCGGCCATTTTGAATGTTCACTTAATTGTTGACAGCTGCTTTGCTTGCAGGTGTTTTGGATCGTCTTCGATTTTTACCTATTAAAAAAAAATGGATCAAAGAACCTGTATCAAATTTTGTGTGAAAAACGAAATTAAGTGCGCGGATGCATTCCGAATGTTGACTGTGGCATACGGAGAAGCTACCTTGGACCGAAGCAACGTTTATCGGTGGTACAAAATGTTCTCAGAAGGCCGAGAAGATGTGAACGACGAAGAGCGTGCCGGACGCCCGAGCACTTCAACAACAGAAGAAAAAATTTATGAAGTGGAGAAAATGATATTGGCCAATCGTCAAATCACCGTTAGAGAAGTTGCCGAGGACCTAAACATATCGATTGGCTCGTGCCATTCGATTTTTATCAATGATTTGGGCATGAGACGGGTCGCCGCGAAATTCGTACCAAAATTGCTCAATTGCGACCAAAAACAGCATCGCATGAACAATGCTAATGAGATGTTGGACTCTGTCCGCGACGACCCAAATTTGCTCCAGAGGGTCATAACTGGTGACGAAGCGTGGGTTTATGGTTATGACGTGGAAACCAAAGCTCAATCATCTCAATGGAAGCTGCCGCACGAACCAAGACCGAAAAAAGCGCGACGAGTTCGGTCGAATGTGAAAGTTTTGCTGACAGTTTTCTTCGATTGCAGGGGCGTGGTGCATCATGAGTTCTTGCCACAGGGTAGAACGGTCAATAAGGAATATTACCTGCAAGTTATGCGCAATTTGCGCGAAGCAATCCGCCAGAAACGCCCGGATTTGTGGAAGAACAAAAATTGGCTTTTGCACCACGATAACGCCCCTGCTCACACATCGTTGCTTGTGCGCGACATTTTGGCCA